TCCACAGAGTTCTAGGATAGCCAGGGCTATATAGAGACCTTGTCTCAAAAAAATAAAGGAAACAAAAATAAAAGAAAAAAAAGGGAGGAGGAATTACCTCTATAACTGGACATGGCAACGCACACTTGTAATCCCAGCACTCAGAAGGCAGAGGCGGAAGGGTCTCTGTGAGCTCTTGAGTCAAACATGGTCTACAGAGTTCTAGTTGAGCCATGACATCATCCTGAGACTTTTATTTTAAAAAAGCCTGAGCCAGAGAGATGGCTCATCGATCAGTTAAGAGCGCTGGCTGCTCTTCCAGAAGATCTGAGGTTCAATTCCCAGCACCCACATGGTGGCTGACAACCATCTATAATTCCAGTCCCAGGGGAGTCAATACCCTCTTCTGGCCTCCACAGGCACACAGTGCACAGACATATATGCACACATAAGTAAATCGTAGGCTGTGGCTACATGAAACTCCGTCTCAAAACAAAGACAGAAAATAAACAGATTATATTCTAAGATGGAAATAACAAGAGCCCCAACTATCTTGGGGTCTCTTCTGTACCAATGCTGTCTTTTTTTTTCTTTTCCTAATTAAAATTTGTGTTAGTGAAAAATGGGTTTTTAAATTTTTAAAACAATTATAATTTAAAACAATAATAATTCTTACTTTGTATGTGTTGTGTATGTGGAGACACACATGCTATGGCACATGTGTAAAAGTCACAAGACGGCTTGCAGGAGTCAGTTTTCTTCTTCTACAGTGTGGGTCCTAAGGGTTGAACTCAGATTGCCAGGATTGATGACAAGTGTCTTTAGCTATCTCGATGACCCAAAATAATAGGTTTTATTTATGACATGTTGCTCTATGTACATCATTATACATTGTTCATATTCACACCCTCCACTATACTTCTTGTCCCCATCTGCTCTTACTATTGTGTGTGATGCACACACGTGGAGACAAGAGGTCAATCTGGTGTCTTCCTCTATGGCTCACCACTTTACTTTTGAGACGGGATCTGTCACTGAATCTGAAGGTCACAACTGGCTACACTGGCCAACGAGCCCTGGGGATCCTCCAGCCTCCACCTCCCAGGAGGATTGCAGGCCCACGACACATCATATCAGTTTTTTTATGACAGTTCTGGGCATCCAAACCCGGGCCGTAAGGCTTGTGGGTCACTTTACTCACTGGGCCACCTCCCTGCTTTCACGTACAGTCTAGATTCTGCACATGAGATGACACACAACCTGTCCTTCTCCCCACCATCACCCTCTCTCGTGTCCTCCTCTCCTCTGCTTAGTCTCCCTTCGAGGCTCAGAGTCCTAAATGAACTATTTGATATGCACCACCCCCACCTCCCCTTTAGCTTTTTGAGACAGGTCTCTTTGTGCAGTCCTGGCAGGTCTGGAACTTGGGAGAGATCACCTGTCTGTCTCCCTAGTGTGCCACCACACCCCACTTAATTCTCATTCCAACAACCCTTCTGTAAGGTAGGTTTCGTTATTTATGTATTATTTATGAGTAAGATATTTTATAAGATTAAGGCACTTCTCACAAGAAAAAAAGAAGTCTTTCATATGGTACAAAGCCAAAGGACAGAGTGGAGCTTGCTATCAAAGACTCCAAAGGCCACACTACTAGTATACAGAGACAGCAATACAATTCAGGAAGAAGGGCCAGACTTGGGGGCAGGCCTGAGGAAGCTACTCTCCCAGATTTGCAGATGCCAGGAGCTAGAGTATTAACACTGGGTCAGCTCAAGAGCATCTCCCGCCTGTCACACCCTAGTGTTCCAGTTATCACTATAATTAGTTCACCCTACCTATGAAAGGAGTACAGAGAAGACTCAAGAACTGACCCCTACATGAAAGAGTGGGCTTTGCAGGGTATTTATTCTACAGTAAAGAAACAGTGCCAAAACGGAAGACCTGAAAGTTAGCAGAGAGTTCAGGGGTTGAGAGGCTGGAGAGATGGTCGTACAGCGACTGAGAGCACCAGCCACTCTTCCAAAGCAGTTTGACTGCTCAAGCAGAGTAGTCTTGCAGATGGGGCTTGATTCTGAGAACCCACATAGCTCACAACCATCTGTAATTCCAGTTGCAGGGAATCTAATGCCCTCTTCTGGGCTCTATGGGCACTGCATGAACATAGTACAAAGACATGCAGGCAAAACATGCAGACAGATGAAATAAAATAATTCTAAAAAGAACAGGCACGCCTTTAATCCCAGCACTTGGGAGGGAGAGGCAGGTGGATCTCTGTGAGTTCAAGGCCAGGCTGATTAACAGAGTGAGTTCCAGGATAGCCAGGGCTACACAGAAAAACCTTGTCTCAAAAAACCAAAAACCAAATAAACAAACAAATGTTTTAAGGGCTGGAAAGTTGGCTCAGTGGTTAAGAACACTTTTTCTTGCAGAAGACCCTAGTTCATTTCCCAGCACCCACATGGCGACTCACAACTCCAATTCCAGAAGATATGATGCTCTTTTCTGAACACTGAGGGCACCAGGCATGCACATGATGCATATACATACATGTAGGCAAGACATTTATATATGTAAAATAAAATAAATTTAAAAAGAAAAATTAAGAGTTTTAAGATGCTGGGCATAATAATGCATTCCTTTAATGCACTGGGGAAGAAGAAGCAGGTAGATCAATCTGAATTTGAAGCCAGCCTACTCTACATAGCAAGTTCTAGGCCAGCCAAGGCTATGCAATGAGACTGTCTCAGGAGGGAGAGAGGGTGAGTTAGTTTTAAATTAGGTGAGGTGGCACATACCTATACACACCTATAACCCCAGGACTTGGGAGCCTCAGGCGGGATTGACACACTTTCAAGGCTAGCCTAAACTAAACAGAGACCTCTCTTGCCAAAAATAACAAAAAGATCAACAAAAATACTTAAGAGTTCAACACAGGAGAGGAAAAAAAAAAACTCAAAGTAAAAATAGAAGAAAGATCCCAGGGCAAGAACTGTGTGAGCAGACATAAAGAGCGACCATTTCAAGCTGAAAGAGATAAGATAGGCAGTACCTGGGAAAGGAACTTCTAATGGATAATCTAGGGATGGACAGACTGACAGAAAAATAAGCTAGTAATAACACTAACAGGAATTATTGCCAGGTATACAAGGACGCACTACAGGTGTAGTGGTGCATAGAACTCCAGCATTTAAGAGGCTGAAGCAGGAAGATAATGAGTCTGATGCCAATATGGGCTAGATCTTGCTTCCAATTTTAAAAAGAAAAAAAGAGGGGGAGGGAGAACTGGATAGATGGCTCCATGATGAAGAAAACTTCCTGCTTTTCCAGAGGACCTGAGTTCAGTTCAGACCAGAGACATCTATAACTGTACCTCCAGTTACAAACTGGCCTTTGCAGGCACACTCATACACATGGCACTTGCTCACATACACATATACATACATAAAAGTAAAATAAACTAAAAGTCTTCATCTCAAAATCAAAACAGAAAGGGAGGGGAGGAGGATGAGCAACACTAGCTATAATATGATGGCTTATACCTGTAATCCCAGGTACTCAGGAGGCTGAGATAGCATACAAAATTCTACCTGGGCAACTTAGTGAGTCCCAGTCTCAAAACAACAACCTTGTTAAAAGCACTTGCTGCTCTTTCGGTGGACCAGGGTTCAACTCCCAGTACCCTCATGGTGGCTGACAACCATCTATAACTCCAGTTCCAGAAGCTCTGATGCCCTCTTCTGACTTCCATGGGTACCAGGCAAGCACATAGTACACATACATTCGTTCAAGCAAAACATTCATACACATAAAATAAATCTTAAAAAAAAAACAATAAAAAGGGCCCAAGGGTGTAGCTCAGTAGTTGTTCGGTGCCTACCATACAGAGGCCCTGAGTTCACTCTCTAGCACCACATGAAAGCAGGCAGGCAGGCAGGAAGGAAGGAAGGAAGGAAGGAAGGGCAATACAAATGTGTTCTGTGGAAGCAGCCACTCTAGAACTTCTCTTAATCATGTTGCTATAATACTAAATCAAACACAAAGAAAAAGAAATAAGCTAATAGATGCCAAAAAGAACAGACTGTTGAAAATGATTTGGGGGAACAAAAATGGAGGAAGAAACTGGAAAGAACTGACAGTGTTACGAGTCTATTGAACTATTTAAGTCAAAAATATGCACAACTTCAACAAAAATAACATTTACAAATCACATGTGCTAGAGGCGTGGTGGTGCATGCACTTGTGAGTGGAGGCAGGAGTTCATGCTCACCCTAATTATATACTGACTTTGAAGCCAGGCTAGGACATATGAGATCCTGTCTCAAAAACAAACCAGCCAGCCAGGCGGTGGTGGCGCACACCTTTAATCCCAGCACTTGGGAGGCAGAGGCAGGCGGATCTCTGTGAATTCAAGGCCAGCCTGGTCTACAAAGCAAGTTCCAGGACAGCTAGGACTGTTGCACAGAGAAACCTTGTCTTGAAAAAAACCAAACAACAAAAAGCCAAGCCTAGTGGTGCACAACTTTAATCCCAGCACTGAAAAGGCAGGGGCAGGTAGAGCTCTGTGGGTTTGAGGCCAGCCTGGTCTATACAGCAAGCTCCCAGCTAGCCAGGGCAACACAGTAAGATACCCTGTCTTTAAAAAGAAAAAAAAAGTAAGGAGGAAGAGAAGAGGCAGAGTAAGACAGCAGGAGGCAGAGCACTGTGCTGCCAGGACAAAGGAGACGTGTGCTGCCAGGTAGAAAAACGGCAGAGGCAGTTAGTTAACTTCTCTTTCCTCAAGGTTTCCCAGAGCAAACAAGAACGCTAGAAATTAATTAATTCCTAGATCCTTAATTTAAGGCTCTCACCTGATGTCACTGCACTAAGCTCCCTGTCTGTTTAAATTTTCTAAATAGACCTTCCTCTCTATCCCCTCTTTATGGTTGCTAACAGACCACAGCAGTTTCAGAGCGCTGGGATTTCCAAAAGGTACTACTCAACCACCCAGAAGGATGCGATAACACAGAAGCCAGAAATCTTACCTTTCTATCTTCCAGATAGATGCCTCAGCAAGGCCATTTTAAACCACTGTCCAGAAGTTAGGAAAAGGGAACCGGGCAGAAAAGAGCAGCCATGGTAACTGTAAATCAGTAAGTGCATGACATATTTAGTATATACAAATGACCAATGCCTGATTCTCATACTGTCTCTTCTTTTTTGCAGTGCTAGTAATCAAACTCAGGGCCTCATAAATGCTAGGCTTACTACACAGCCTTAGCCCCTAACTTTTTCTAGGGGCTAAAGTCTCCTGATGGGAGTCTACCAAAATGTAAGGCCACAAAGGCTTGTAAGCTGACAGTCAAGACCCTGAGCTGTCAGGGAGATGATAGCCAGGCTGTTTCTCCCCTTTTGTTCCCACACGGGAGCAGAGCCCACCAGCAGTCCAGGAAGGTCAAGGTAAAGTGCAGCAGTGGAGGGTCAAAACAGGGTCTGTGAGCTAAGCCAGAACAAGATCAAAGGGGGGGGGGTCCAGCACAAACCATCCCTCTTCTTTTTCCCCCTTCCCCCCCCCTTTTTTAAAGACAGGGTCTCAGCTGGGCGGTGGTGGTGCATGCCTTTATCCCAGTACTCAGGAGGCAGAGACAGGAGGATCTCTGTGAATTCAAGGCCCGACTGGTCTACAGAGAGAGTTCCAGAACAGGCTCTAAAGCTACACAGAGAAACCCTGTCTCGGGAGAAAAAACAAAAACAAAAACAAAAACAAAAAAACCAAAAAACACAGGGTCTCATGTATCCTAGACTGGCCTCAGACTATGTAACTGAATGGGGTGGTTTGAGGACATGACTGCTCCTAGGTATGGGTTGAGAAGGTGTATTGTAAACATGAAAGAACATAAGAGAGGCATCCAGGGGTTAGGGATTTAGCTCAGTGGTAGAGCACTTGCCTAGCAAGCACAAGGCCCTGGGTTCGGTCCTCAGCTCCAGGGGGGAAAAAAAAGAGGCACTTGGAAGAGTCCAGAGTGAACATGGCTGACAGACTGAACCAGGTCATGTGAGGGGGGGCGGGGTGAGGAGAGGCAGAAGCCAAGAGGCCAGGAGAGTGAGAACTAAGAGCAGTGGCCAAGAGGCAAAAGGGCCTTTAGCAAAATGGCTGAAGTTATGCAGGAATCGGAGAAGCTGGGGGAAGGGAAGGCCAGCCCATGGGCTGGAGAGTTTAGGGTAGGTACAGGGTATGACAGCCAGTATGACTCTGTAAGAGGTACTGAGAGTTGCTGGGAGAACCTAGCAGCCAGGTCCACTCTGGTATGTTAAACAGGACCCTCAGTTAGCCAACTGTCCTGAGTTGGAGACCTAACAGTATCCAATAGAGGCAGGCCTTGAACTCCTGTGAGATAGAATGCAGCTTGCCCATCCCTCCACTTTACAGGATGGCTAGAAAGCAGGCAGGTAAAGCTAAAGACCCACACAGCCATGAGAGAAAATTCCCAACAATAATCCCAGTCACACACAAC